CGCCCGCGTCGGCCACGCGTTATGGAAGGTCAGCAAGTCAGAGCCCATATGCCGTTCAACAAACTACCTACACGTAAGAAGGCAATTACGGTTAATTGTCGTTATATGTTTGCAGTAATGACTGTACTCTATAAATACTGCAAACTCCTGTGCATACGCTATTTGTATCTGCTACTGCTCTCTGATCATGTCGCAGATAGCATTGCCGGCAAAGACAAAGGAGACACACATTAACCGTTATCACCCCCAGCTGCTGCACCACCCGACGCTCTAACCATTGAGCTACGAGCTTGCCGTCTTGGCGGTTGAAACTGGGAGACATTGACACTCGTTGCTGAACAGTAAGAAACTCGGCCCAATCTGTTAGCTGAGCAAAATGGAGATATTTCTGGAGCACACTGGATAAGAACATGCGGTAGGGTTTCCTTGTGGGGTGTTCAAAAGGTCCTTATGTATTATAGCCACCTACTTAAATGTTTTAAGTAGGTTGGATTGCCCACAATCTTCCCGTTTTCTACACGCTATCCGTTGGTCCAGCAGGGATTTGATGAAGGCATTGAACTACAGAGTGGTCCTCCGAAGATCGCCGCATACCATAACCGCTTAAGTCAGCATAGTAAGCGAAATTAGTCTTTTGAATTAACCACGGGGATAACCACTTACTTACCAATTTTAAGTTGGGTGATTCCCAGAATCTTTGCACATTTGTACTGCGTTAATCTTTTTTCTAGTTGGTGTTTCCGCTAGAAAATGTAACTCAATGACCTCGCCCGAGGTTAGGGCACACTCCCCCTACATGCACGCATTCGCTGTTGTTCGGGCAGGGGATTAGCGATTATATTTAAGCGCATTTCAGTGTCTTCTTCCAAGGTTTGAGGACGCGACCCAACTTGTCCTCGTAACTTTTTTTTTTGCAGAAATATTGCGATCTAATTTGTTTCCGTCATGCCCCGTCCGTCCTCTGCCCTAAAGCCAGGTGCCCGTGAGCCTGAGGGGCGCGCTCCACAGGTTCCTCAGGCGGCCCCACAAGGAATCCCTACCGAACATGCTTTCAGAGAGCGAATGGACTGATAGTATTAAGCGACAATAATCGAAAAGGCTGATAGCATGCATAGCTCAGGTATTTCTGGCAAAGTTCCAAATTTACCTTGGATACCTATATCAGTATCACGTGCGAATTGTGTCTGTGACGTTGACTATAGGCGGCAATGATATTCATTAAAATATATAGGAATGGAGTAGAGTACAGTGTTAGCATGATAACTCAAATAAGATAATGTTACACTTATTACGATGACGGGTAGAAAGAAAACGTGAATCACCTTGAGATCATCTAGAAGGGACTCGGCCAGACAAAGTTGTTGCTTGAGTATGAGGAGGCTACTTTGGAGGCCCTCCAAATCAAACGAAGACTCCTCTAGCACAGACTCAAGTTCTAAAAGATAAGTGTTGTCGTCAGTGAAGGATGGTTACCTTGATTAGTTTTCAGAAATTCCTCTATGCAAGTAGCCTGCATCGCAGCCTCAGACTCCAGGGAAGCCAAGCGGTCAGCCTCGTTGACACGTCCGAGGCTTTCGTTTTTCGCCAGCAATTGACGCATGCAGGTCATGAGACGCTTTCCTGAAGGGCTGGATTTGAATTATTTAAAAAAGATGACACTTGAGAAAGCCTATAGTATGAAAAGCACAAGAAAAGTGCAGTCAACAGTATTAAAAATACTCCTCCCCCGTTTACTAATAGTATTCATCTTGTCAACAATTACGATGCATCGTAATATGTAATATACGCAAAGATTTGAGGTCCAGATATCTCATCTTTTTGATCATCCCCCAAAGAAGACGAAGAAGGTTCAAGGACATGGACCGAGTTATATTGGGACT